GGTCGGGATGGGTTAAGGTCCAAACTCTACCCTTTTCTTTTACCTCCTTCCCCCTTCTCTTTCCCTTTCCTTCTCTTTCCCTTCCCTTTCCCCCCCTTATGTCATTACATTATTGTAGGACTTGTATAGGCCAGCCAGGGCCCCCAGATCTGATCGAATTGTGTGACTTTATCCGCAATAATACTTGCTAGCTTTTCATGGGTCATGATCCAAGACAGCTTATTCTTCCCCTGCCTCAATGGTATCCTAGTGGTTTTCCAAGCCCTAGCAATGGTGATTTTAGCTGCCAAAAATATAAAGAATATCAATTGTGTACCGTGCCCCGAGACCCCGGGGACGGCCTCATTAAGGAGGGCATACCCGGGGTCCCTAGGAACGCGCACACCCATGACCCGAACTATTAAATTGAGAACCTTTCCCCAGAATCTACAAACGCAAGGACACGACCACCATACATGGTACATGGTGCCCCCAAGCCCGCATCCCTGGAAACACAAAGGTGACGATCCTGGGAACATACGAGCCAGTCTAGATGGCACCAAGTACCACCTAGAGAAGACTTTAAAATTAGCCTCCAGTAGTGATACATTCAACAATCCCCGAGTCGTCGCCCTAATGCGTTGCTTCCATATCTCTTCAGAGGTTACCATGTTTAAATCCTGTTCCCAGGCTAGCATGTATGGCTGTTTAGGGGCATGCATATGAATCAGGCCTTTCAGCTGGCAGGCCACTCCTGTTCATGGACCCATTGGCTAATCCATTTGTGTGATGAGGTCAGATGATGCATACATGTCAGACTGCCCTTGTATGTTTTTGATGCCCATCTTCCTATAGTAAATGGGAGGAATATGAAAATATTGTGCACAGTAAAACAAAATTTAAGAAGCCATTGCATGGGCTTGTTCACGCAGTTGCCCGAAGGACCATCTCTCCTTATCAGGCTCCTGTATACAAACAGGTGAGAGATGAGAGAGACAGAGGACATAGCAGGATAGAACAGAGATCAGAAAAAAGCACAGCTTTTACTTGACCTTCTTCTGACATCTCTTTTTGGCAGACAGTGTGTATATTACTAATACGTCTCTGCCTGGAGAACAATAGTTCTCTAAGCTGCCCTACTCTGCTATCTCATATTCTCCTGTGTCTAATCCACTTCATTTTACAAAAATGTGAGGGAAAAAAGACAGTTCTTTCGACCATGCGATCCTAGCTTAAAACAGTACATGCACTGGAACACATTTATCAAAGTAGGTATCAGATATTGTAAGTATAATTTGTCTGCCATCCTGCAGTTTGCTTATTATCAGCATTAGAGCTGGTATATCACTAAAACTCATTAGCCGTATCAGACCTGGCTGGTAGGTTCCCTTTTCTGTCATATAATGTTTCTGGTTGCTTTAGAAGCCCTGCACTTGCTGTTTATTTTATCACTGGGGCACTTTTCAGTAGAGTTATTTAGACCCAGTTGGGTCAATGTACTTTTCTTGTAAAAAATATTCTCTAGAAAAAATATATTTAATTTGATTTTGCCTTATTGATAAATGTGTTCCAGTATTTAGACCATGATCATCTACAGGTTTGGAATTGACTTATTTCTGTGTCATCTGACAGGCCTAGGAATCATCGGCCAGGATCTCTTCCTCTTATGAGTGCATTTGCAAGGTCCAGAAATCCTGTTTCATCACCTACGCAGAATGGAAGTGACAAAGGTCAGTGAAATGTTCCTAGCATCGATGCTTATCAATATACCGGCTCACCTCATGCCAATGCTAGCGGAATGTATAGTACACATGTTCTATTAATAGAAATTACCTAATGATATCAAATGGTGTAAGTAATAACAAGATAGACTTTATGTAAAGACCTTTAGTAAACTATATGCAGGGTTCAACCAAAGTACCTCCAGGTGGATATTTTTGTTGGCTAAGGTACATTTATCTAACATAGTTTTTAAAATAATATATAAAACAGATCTCTGGTAGTATTATGTTAATAAAAAACCCCACAAGGGGTTATCTGGAAAATTTCATTTGGGGGTGCTGTTAATAAATCAAAGGGGTAGCAGAGATTAGCTTCCTTGTATCAGGGGGTACTCATCCAACACTGGTTCCTATACAGGGATACATACTTGAGAATCACTTAACTACATGACCTATAATACTGTCACATAAATAGTGTAATTAATAGTTATTGCTCATTACAGAACAGTAAACAGGATTAAGAATTGTCTGTTGACTGCAGCTTTCAGCCAAGTGGTAACTTCAATTTCAAAGTGGAATATTTTGTAACTTAAAGTTCCAAATGAATTTATCTAGCTTTTGCAAATCAGTAAGGATTTTGTTTAACAGCAGCAGAACACACTATGTAGCTCCTACTCCTTAGTTACTGCATATTCAAGCATTAATGTCAAACTTGGTTGCTGCTGTGCTTGGACAAGAAGGGGGTGTACTTATTTTAGCCTTTTTTTCCTTTTTGGATCGATTCTGCAACGTCTTTGTCGGCACCCTGAGCTCGGAGGAAACGCTGAAGAACACAGAAACGTTGTCAGCATTTCCAAAGCAGCTCCTAAAGAGGAAATATTGATTCTGCATCTGGATTCTCTCTTATGGGGTGCTTACATTGCTTGCTTCAGTTCCTGGGCTTAGTGCTGGAATTAGCCAACAGGATCCCTGCCAGTCCACTTTGTCCTATTTTGTAGGCCTTAACACTTTATTATCATAGGTGGCCAGAGATAGTCATATCTCCCACCCACAATGACAGGTGGTGCCAATGTTGCAGTACTTACACTACCCCAATCTGCCACAGTTTTATTCCCTTTTCTGAAGAAATACAGAAGTGACATGTTCATGGTACACAAGTGTGTATCATAAAAAGCACTTCACCTAAATTGTTATGTTGTACGCTATGTTATTACAGCATAAGTGACTTTCATATATGCTGTATATGTACCATATAAATGGTACATATTTTTAAATAAAGCAACAGAAAATCACTGTAAGAAAAGGAATAATAATACAAAATATAGAGTTTAGTGATGTTACATTAGGAATATATATATATATATA